CGACGACCCGATCTCTGGACACGGAGACTAGCCCTGGGGACATGGAATGTCACCTCGCTGGTGGGGAAGGGGGGCTGGAAAAGGCCCCGACTGGGGACTCCGTTGTTCGACTGGGGGACTTCAACACCCACGTGGGCAGCGACAGTAACACCTGGAGGGGCGTGATTGGGGGGAACGGCCCCTCCGATCTGAACCCGAGTGGTGTTTTGTTATTGGACTTCTGTGCTAGTCACAGTTTGTCCATAACTAACACCATGTTCAAGCATAAGGGTGTCCATCAGTGCACATAGCACCAGGACACCCTAGGCCGGAGGTCGATGATCGACTTTGTGGTTGTTTCATCTGACCTCCGGCCGTATGTCTTGGACACTTGGGTGAAGAGAGGGGCGGAGCTGTCAACTGATCACCACCTGGTGGTAAGCTGGATCTGATGGTGGGGGAGGATGCTGGACAGACTTGGCAGACCCAAATGTATTGTGAGGGTCTGTTGGGAACGTTTAGCAGAATCCCCTGTCAGAGAGATCTTCAACTCCCGCCTCGGGCAGATCTTTGACCAGATCCCAGGGGAGGTTGGAGACATTGAGTCCGAGTGGACCATATTCTCCACCACCATTGTCGATGCAGCTGTTCGGAGCTGTGGCCGTAAGGTCTCCGGTGCCTGTCGACTGAACAGGTTGGGGGCTGGTGTTATAAATGTTTCCATAAATGACACACCTGACCAGTAAAACATTTCCAATTCGATTGCTTCCTCTCCTGTATACTACTCCAAGCTTTTGCATACCCATAGTTCAATTCACCTGCCCTCAGTCCCTCACCTAGGCGCAGCCAGCAGTCAAGGACAAACAGGAAATGTGTCTTTGTATGGCCCAGCCTCAGGCACTGGCTCCTCTGTGAGCTCAGTGTTGGATTTTAGTTTTTTATAAATTTGCAAACATTTTTAAAAATGTGATACTTCAAAACAGTGACTACAGTGACCTTTTGCAAGTGAGATCATTCTGAAACTGGAACTGACCACTGACTGATACGTTATTCTGTTTCCCTGAAACTACTTCTGTTTCCTCTTGAGTCTCTTCTCACTGACAAGAGATGTGACCAGAAAATCAAACTGCTGTTTCAGTGGGAGGCCCAAACTGACCACTGTGTGACAGCTGGCCAAAACTTTGAAACCTCTGACTCCCACAAGATGAGGAAATGCACAGCATAAGACTGATATTACACCAGTTATCTTAAATAACTTGCACAATGCCTAAATGTTACAGAAAACTCATGCAAGTCTTTTGAGGCCTAAAGTAACCTTATTTACTATGTAAGCTAAAGCAAAGGTAAAAAGGTCAACCTGGTCTCATTGTATGAAGAAAAGACCCATTTGAAATTTCAAAAGAAGAGCTTAAACTGTAAATTCAAATTTAGTTTGAACTGAAACGCTGAAATTTGTATGACCACTAAACCCCTTTCTATGCTTTACAGCACACCCAAAGCGCTAAGTACTCCTCTGACTGTAAAAACAATCGTAAAATGTTAGTGGTAGGTCTGAGAAAATTGCCCAGATGATGTCATAGTGATGTCAGCAGGGGTATCTCACTATCAGCTTTAATGTGTGTGTGGGGGGTGTGGGGGAGAAACGTTGACAGAGGTGAGAATTTAGGAGGCAGGGGATAACCAAGGAAAGACATTAAACTGCATTATGGGAAATACACGATCCAGCATTTCTGGATAAGAAACTAAACATTGGGGGCCTTGGGCTCTGCTACTTTGATTTTTACTGTTTCTTTTAAAATCTGTCTTTTGTGAGTTTGTTAAGTTTATGGGAGAGCAATACTAAATCAGCTCTAAATACATGAAAATATCAAATGTCTGACAAATGCTTCCACACCAGGAATCAAAGGTCCAGTAAATACGTTATTATATGTAACAACAAAACACACAGACTTGCCTGAAGGCTGGAAAGTTAAACAAGAGGACGGAGGTGAAGGGGTGAAATGATTCAGAGGTCATTACATTACACATTACACATTTTTACTTTCAAATAACTTGAGACTCCATCATATGACTATGCTGCCATATAGGAAGGTAGGCAATTCAGTACAAACACAAATAAACATAAAGAGCAAGGTCCAACAGACAAGAAGTCGTTTTTATTTTAATGAATTTCTACACGGCTATTTAAAATTAGGCTGCTACAGCAGTTTTTGGTGAACAAGATTAATTAGAATTATATTATAGCCCATATCTATTAATTAGTTCGCTGCATAATAGCCTGTCTATATCTTCTTCACTGAGTAGCTATTAGGCCCGTTTTATCTTTAAATGATTTTAATCACATGAATACCCAGTTCTGTCTGATACCCTGATGTCTCCCTCTGAGAGACACCCGTTATGAAGACATCTCACCTTATCACCACCTATGATCCTGTCCCTGCCTGCAGGGTGAAGCTGGGCAGTACGCCTCCTCCACCTCCCACATCTAGCATGACTGGAAGCGCTCCAGGATGGGATTGGCTTCCCGCTCCTGTCGGGGAGGAACTGGTTCACAAGGATATCCAAATATGGACTGACTGGTATCAGTTTGGCTCGCATGACTCAGCACCAGTGTATATATGCTTCTGATGAGATTGCTGTCGAGGTTTAAAGTCACATTGGTTGATGGGATGTATTAGGTGTACCAGTAATAGGCTCGTTGTGTTTTAGATGACTGTGGGCCCTGTGAAATATTTAAACTAACTTGTTAATAAATAATGACTGTGGACGTGTACTCGAAGCACACTATTGTATGGGTTTACCTGGCGTTCAGTTTCCCCCACGCCGAATAGGCCTTATCTTGTTTACAGTCCTTGTTCCTGGCAATCACGTCATCACGTCTACGTGACATCACGGAGGCGGGGAGGATCGAGGAAGCAACCAATCAACGCGCTGGTCGGAGGGTTTGTTGCCCAGATCATATAAATACTGCGGGTGAATCGGGCGCCTGTCATTAGAAGAAACCTTTAAGGACCTCTGACTTAAAGCAGGAAAGACTCTACAACACACGGATGGACTGAAAACATCTGAATTAGTCACTGGACTCCTCTTTGAAACCAACCAAAGGTACAAATCGACGACTTGGTACAGTACAGTTCCACTGTTTTTGGAAGTTTTGCTCTGTTTTTTATAGTTTTGATCTTCAGTATAATAATACAGCGGGACTTTGTGCTGGAGATTGAATCAGTTGGGACACTGAAGCCTCGGTGTCCAAACAACAACTTTGCAGCGCACTCTTGTATTTGACTGTCTGATTTGAAATATGTCCACAATAACGGAACAGCCGTTTTATGACGACTCGTTTCTCTCTGCTTATGGCCATCCAGGCGCAGCCCTGCCAGACTACAAGCTGCTAAAGCAGAATATGAACTTGAACTTCTCCGATTCATATCGGAACTCAAACTTCAAGTCACAGCACCTGCGTGCCGACAGTGATTTCTATTCAGCGGGAACGGCGGACGTGGACTCCCTGAAGCTCGCCTCTCCTGAACTGGAGCGACTGATCATCCAGAACAGCAACGGGGTCATCACTACAACGCCGACGCCTGCTCAGTACCTCTACAACCGCGGGATCACAGAGGAGCAGGAGGGTTTTGCTGAAGGTTTTGTCAAAGCGTTGGACGACCTACACAAGATGAACCAGATGGCCCCTCCAAATGTGTCCATCGGCGCCGGTGGCGTTGCCTGCTCGGCTTCGGCCTCTGTGTACGGCTCCTCCATGCAGCCAGAATCGCTCGAGTACACCACTCTGAGTAGCTGCACCACGAACCCCAGCCTGTCTTCTGCAGCCAGCTATCCCTCCACTACTATCAGCTACCTGCCTCATCATCACCAGTACCAGCATACCCATGCCATTGCGCACGGATCTCACCTTTTCCAGCACTCTCTGGCCGGAGCGGGCATCCACTCGCAGCGCTTCGGCGGGGTGAAAGAGGAGCCTCAGACAGTCCCCGACATGCAGAGCAGCGACAACAGCTCTCCACCGATGTCCCCCATCGATCTGGAGAACCAGGAGCGGATCAAAGCAGAGCGCAAGCGGCTGAGGAACCGGCTCGCAGCCTCTAAGTGTCGGAAGCGCAAGTTGGAGCGCATCGCGCGCCTGGAGGACAAGGTGAAAGTGCTGAAAACAGATAACGCCGGACTGTCAAACACTGCTTCTCTACTGCGGGAACAGGTGGCCCAACTCAAACAGAAAGTAATGACACATGTGAGTAGTGGCTGCCAGCTCATGTTAGCGCCGAAAGTGAAGTCTTATTGAAGATGCACTTTTAATAACACTGGACAAGAAATGCACTGACAACACAATGAACAATGCCCTTATAATCTACATTGTACGCGAGAGCTGGACAACAAAAAGTATCCTACACAGGAATCTTACAAAACGAAAACACTTAAACTTGGGGCATTTTTAAAAGTGTCATCTTTGCTTTGCCTGTTTACATGTTTGTTTCTAACTTATGTGTTTGTCAGGTTGAGCCTGATTACTTTTTGTACAGTATATTTAAACTAAACTTATGAAAAGAAATATCTGGTGTTGGTTCTTATTGGGGTGTTGCGTATTTAACACGGCCATTTCCAATGAATAAGGCTACAGTGATTCTCGTTAACACAACCACACTGTTGTCAATGATGTCTTGCAGCAGAAGTCGCAGCGTATGATTGTTTCCCTATTGACGTACATACGTCAGAAGTCGCAGCGTAGGATTGTTTCCCTATTGACGTACATACGTCAATCCATATATGGTCAATTTAGCTTGCTAACGTCACAACACGATAAGGTTTCCGGGAACTCCTTCCTACGCTGCCAGTCAGAATAGCCGCGCGCTCCCCTTCACGCCCTCTTGACACCACAATGTGTGTGCGTCTAAATGAAGAGGTTAGTCAATGACTAGTTTGTTCGAGTTATGGGAGTTCCCCCATTCTGTTTTCAATTTCCCAAAACAAGCCATGAGAACAGCAGTTCGGGAAAAGTGGTTACAAAAGGTTCCAGACTAAATCCACCGTCTCATGGTGAAGAACTAGTGTGAAATTAACAGAAACTGACATATTGGCGGAACAGAAACGTGCCCACTGAGCTGTATCAACTTAAACAATGACCAGGATTACTGGATCTGAACTGTGATGTTTCTCCTTCAGGAAGAGTAATAAAAAAAACTTAAATTTGGCACAGAGATCTGCCCTCCTCGGTGTCAGGTCAATTGTGGCTGGGACAGTATGAAAATCTGTATTAATATCAAACAATTTTTTCCGGTTCAAGACCTTGTGGTCACACCAGCTTGTTGTATTGACTCAAATAGCAAAAACCCCACCATTAAGCAACTCTTTGCAGCCTCGTGACACACTCCGATACAAGAGCCAGGACTGACTCACCATGTTCACCTCAAAAACGTCTGATACCATAATACTTGAAATTGTGACGTCACCGAACTGGAATACACCAGTAACTTACTCTGGTAGATTTAAGGCACCACCAAGAGGTCACAAGTAGAATGTCAGTCAGCTTTAATAAAGATGGTAACATTATTAATGACAGCAAGAACAAAGTTTCTTTAACAAAAAGGAACAAACTACACTATCAGTGCTTGAGACTATGAGGCTGCCCAACCAAATCGGACAAAAGATTTGCAGGTAAAGACTTTTTTTCCCTCCAACAAAAACTGAACATTTGTTGGGTTTAGCAGATTAGACTGAACGTCAGAGGGACTCGCTCATCTGAAGGCAAGTGCTATGTTAGAAAGCCAGCTGAAAGAGCTTCCCATTTACTGCTTGGAGAAGAAGTCCTTGCTCTTTTGGACGTCAGGGATAATTGTGGGGTTCCCAGGTTTCCAGCCAGCAGGGCACACTGTGTGGAGAGCGGGACAAAGTGTACCATAATGTATCAGTGACAGACACTGAGCTTAGCATACCCAGAGCAGTAAATTAATAATGCAAGGTCATTTCTACAAAACAAAAATATCCAAGCCAGTTTACAGCTACTGTCAGATAAAATAATCCTTGTTCCTCTCCCAAATATTTACATCCTAGGTGTGGGATGTGTAGGGCAACATATCTAAATTTACACAAAGCATCAAATCAACGTAAGAGAAGTAGGAGTAGTAGGTGTTTCCATTAGATATGCATGAGATCAAGAACAGCCTCAGATAAATGTGTGTGTGTGTGGGGGGGGGAGGCCAGTACTTTGACATTTCTATGAGCTGATGCCAAAAACAGATGAATGATTTTCATGTAAAGATTTTTGGAAAGCAACTTTCACATGTAGTTTTGCAGGCAAAAGTTTAAACCAAGTAAGGGCAAAACATTACCTGGTGTGCAGACATTTTACTCACCCTCTCCATGTTTGTCAGTGTGCTGGAAGGCCTGCACCAGACGCAGAGTCTCGTCCACAGAACGACCCACAGGCAAGTCATTGATAGTGATCTGCCTCAAGGTGCCCTTGTCGTCAATTACAAACAGACCCCTGAGAAATTACAGTATTGAACAAAACTGTTATGCTTAGTCACTACAGTAGTACTCAGAGCAGATAAAGTATTATTCTACCAGGCTCCCAGTAGACAGTGACTACTGGCCTATCAGAAAAAAAAAACAAAACAAAAAAAACCTACTGACCTGTATGCAACACCATCTTCCTCCTTCAGCACACCATAGTCTCTGGAGATGGTCTTGGTGATGTCTGCCACAAGGGGGATTTTCATGTTACCCAGACCTCCCTGCTTCCTTGGTGTGTTGATCCTGTTGGAGGGTAGGGGTCCGGGCACCAATTACAACATGGCAAGACTGGTATTTTTATTCTAAAGTACTGCACTTCAGGAACTTTAAACAATTTAAACTGCCTATCAACACTTAGTGCATGTATTTTATGGATAAACTTGTTTGCATAGTGAAGTTACATTGCACAAACATAGGACAAAGTGGCTGTAAAATGCTTCTAAGTTACACAGAGGGGGGAAAAAAAACAAAAAAATATAAAATAAAAATAACTAGTAGGTAGAGATGGCCTGAGTAAGTGGAACTTGTGCAAACACCTTTGAGAAAGACAAGATAGGAATGTTGTATTTACTGATGAAATCTGAGTAAATTTGCTTCCCTGAAACTGACTGTGCCATATTAATAAACTAGACACCGGAAGGTGGCCCAACAGAAGCAACACTTTCACAGAATTGAAAATCTGATATGGAATTTACCACCAACCTAATACACTGCAACTAGAATTGTGCAGGCTCTGTAAATTCCTTTATCTTCCTTCCAGAAAGGGCAGTTTGAATCAAACCGTTACCTCTGAACTTATCAATGCTATGCAGAGAAGCCAAGTGACAGGAGATAAACCGATGTACTGGGCTGGGTGCTGCTTCACATCTGCCACAAAACCCCTCACCGTTAACGGCATCATTTGAAACGCCAAAAAAAAATGGCGCGAAGACCGGGGTCATTTTATAAACCGATGATATCTAGAAGTCCAGATCTAACATTTATTTTTCCTACATTTCAAAGCTGCTCTGCATACGCCAACTATAAAGTAGCAATCTAAATTAGATATTACTGAAAGCTGTGCTCCTGGAGAGACTCATGTTGACAGCAAAGTGTCATACTTTGGCAAAGTTGCCCTTGAAAGAAAACTTTTGTTAAGCAGCTCTGCCTACGACACATGACAACTGTGTGGATATCATTTCCAATCTGGTGGGTCAGGACCACTGAAGTAATCAAGTCCCCATAGAATACAAGTCATGCAAATTATAGTATAATTCAAGCCATCATCTCCCTTTCAGTCAGAAGGAATTCTCACCATGCCAAGTGGCTGAAATGAGAGTCTATGGAGCAGCCTATAACCTCACAGCCGATACTGCGGAACTCCTCTGCCCTGTCGCTGAAGGCCACAATCTCAGTAGGGCACACAAATGTGAAGTCCAGAGGATAGAAAAAGAAGATCACATACTTTCCTGAAGAGCAAACAGGATAAACAAGGAACATGTTTATTCTAGTCAAAACAAAATTATACATACAGCTGAAAAAGTTTAAAGACGTTGCTGTTACTGGGTTGACATGTGATACAAATCCAAAGTCAGTGGTGCATACAATCTGAGAAATTATACTGCATTACCTCTGTAGTCTGGCAACACATGCAGTGTTGTCAGCAACTTTAATACGAAGATAAAAGACCAATGCAATTAAGCACAGTGCAAGCGTGGCCAGACTTGTTGCATTCCAGTGTTTGTGTACCTTGGCAGTGGGTTAAGTTGTGTCAGTAACTTCAGTTGTATTTACCTCTGTAGTCTGAGAGCCTGATCTCCTTGAACTGTCCATCCACTACAGCTGTGGCTTTAAAGTCTGGGGCAGGTTTGCCGATCTTAGCATTTGCAGCGGACATGGTGCAGGTGAAAGATTACTGCAGAAGGAACAGAATATATATAGTTAGCAGAACAATCCTAATGTTCATAAACTCTATAGATAAGTGCAGCTGGGCAGGAGTCACCTGGAGCTCTGATAGCAACTAAATCCTCAATATAAGTTAAATAATCAGTGAACTTTAGACTAAAAAGAGGAGGTGCATGAACCTTAACCAGAAATCTAGCGCACTGACAAATGGTGCAGTGCTCAAAACCTGGTTCAGTTCTGCAAACATTAAAAGTCGCATGCAGGTTATGTTCAACCAATAGGGAACAAAAGCCTGTTAAGAAGGTTATATAAGCATGATACGCACTAATCAACAAGAGAACACATGCACTTAAAAAGTTTACATGGAAACACAGGCTATTATTAATTCACACATAAAACAATGTTGATCCTACGCCGCCCTCAGAGCAGCTAAGTGGTGCTCATTCTTTTTAAATAGCGACAGTTCGGTGGTGTATCGAACAAAGGGTGCACTAACATTTTTGTGTGTGTCCTAGCTACAATTCAAAGCCGACAGAAGCTAACACTTCGGTATCGTCTTTAAAGCTTTATAAGGCTATAACGTTACGCGTGCAGCAAACACTGTGGTCAAAGTTCAGCGGTGTAGAGTTTCATCCAAAGTCCTTTGACAAGCGGAGTGACAGCAGCAGAGATGGAACAAAGCAAGAGGACAATAACCAGTCTGTCCAACAAGCCAGAGAAATAGCCAGAAACAGGCACAGGCCAAACACTTATAAAGGAGGGGAGCAACCAGTCCACGCTGCCTTACTAGCTTAACATTAGCTTAATCTTAAAACCGTTTGTTTAGTTAGCTTCTCTTTGTGCCAGTACCATCATGTACTATCCATGGACTAATCTTGCAGACAATAAGAACTTCTGAAAGTGAAAATAAAACAAGACAAACATGTAACTGACTCACATGCGTTTGCGTAAAACCGTGGAAAAGTTGGCAAAGCACAGGTCTCCTGCTAAGAGAAGAAAAGAGTCAAGGAATAGACTGGTGCTGCGCGCAAGAAGTAGGCACGACAAGCTGTGTCCTCCGGAAGTGAAAGTAAAATACCGACTTTCAAAGTAAATGTCGTGTGTGGGCCCTTTTTAGGGCAGGTGAACTAAAACAGCGGTAGAAAATAGACCAAAGTACAGTTCTATATATTCTTCTGTCACCAACAGACCTGTACAGTGAATGCAATTTTGAGGCATTTGTACTTATTTTTATTTTCGGCTACTTTATACTTCTAAATCATTATACCTGTATGTCAGAGACAAATAGGCTATTGTACCTTTTGCTCCACCAAATTTATGTGATAACTTTAATTGTCAGAGTAATATAATAATATAAAATACATTTTACATTCTACAACTTTATTAATTCCTGGTGGGAAACTCATAAACTGCCAAGCAGTATATAAAGAAACTGAAATTATAACTCAAAATATATGATCATCAAAACAGCACATAAAGTAGATACATTAGTTCCACCTTTAACAACTGCAACCTTTATTTTGGTTGCTCAGGGATATTTTGATGTTAATGGTTTTGTACTTTTACTGAAGTAAAAAATTTGAATACAAGACCATGTACTTTTACACTGTGGTATTGCTAATTTTACTTAGGTAAAAAATCTGAGGACTTATTAATATATGAGACTTAAATGAATTAACAAAACTTACTGTCAAACACTGGCACTGTGAGGCGTGTTCTTTTATTTGAGAAGAGAAGACTAGTAAATAGATATTCTACAGTGTGAAATTTATTATACATTAATGTATCAAAATAAACATGTGCACATGGATCTTCACTGTTTAGGAAAAACAGAAAAGACTACTAAACTGTTGGGGAGGAGCCGTGGTTTAGACTTAACTCTCCGCTCTCCCGTTGTTGGTACTTCGGTCCGTCCGTCCTCCTACATCCTTTCTGCTCCACTCATAGAGGACATCACCCTAGGAAGGGGAGGAATACTTATACTGCCTTAATTTCTGCATAGACACTCACTTCTTCCTTTGTTTCTAACTAACTACTCTGCCTGTGTGCATAATGGTTCTGCCTTTGAAGTTTTCTCCTCTTATTGGCTTCAGAGCTAATCTCTGTTTACTAACCTTGGTGTCCCAGTGAACCCTATTTCCCCTGGCTTCATCAGCCAGGTGGTGGTGATAAAGTAACTGTGGACTCTCTTCGCCAAAGTTGTAAATCTCATGAGATTCAGTGGTTTAGTGAACCAGTCCCTTTGATGTTAAACAGTGCTCCAGTTGGCTAACACAGTAATTGGCCAGTGATTCAGTGAACACATAGAGTGATATGTAACTACGTAAACATAACTGTGAAATAAAAGTTTGTAGACTTATGTGTGCTATAAAATAAAAACCTTAACTAATCCTATTCATATCTACTTAAAATAAAAATCACCCTAACAGCACAATGAACCCCATACAGACAGACACTAGTAGAAAGTACATAAATACATTGCACTGTAATTTGTTTTGAAGTATGAGTATGTTATTTATGAGTGCTTCTACTTTGGTCTAGGCCTAATACTTGAAAGAAATGTTGTATTCTTCCCTCCATTTCATTTATCTGACAACAATTATAACAAAATATTTTTGATATATTATACATTATTATGGAAAATTATACACTGTGAAGGATTAGATAACTCTTTAGGATAAAGTAGCCTGCCTAAAATTACCTCCATGCTGACAAATTACAACATGCTGGTGCATTAGTGATGGCCTGAGTATAATACGCTTTGGTAATATAACATTGTCAAAATATATGGTGCTACTATCAGCAACCTTTACTATAATACTTTAATTGGTCTACATTTTGGTGCTAATAATTCTCTACTTGCTCTTAAGTTGAAATTTACATGGAAGACGTTTAGGGGACACAGAGTATTTCCTCTATGTTCTATTATCACTCTGATCTGAGTAAAAACCTGGACAGCTGGGAGGCAAAAACAGATTCATGAAGCGTTCTCAGGGCAGTCCACCTGGTGGCAGTGCACTTCTGTTTTCTAAGAGACCTTGGTTAATACTCCTTGAGACACACCTACCCACACCGATTCTGACAGTACACTTTCTTTTCATGTTGGATTAACAGCATGCTTCAAGCTAGCAATGCTGTGCTTTAATATAAATTTATGTTGAATTTTAACATGTCAATGATGTAAGCATGGCATTTTAATAAATATGTTTTTAAACATTCTTTTGTCAGCAAGCATATCCTAATTGTACTTTACTTTTTGAACTTGAATGCTGCTTTATTTCTGTTTAGCCTGACTATTGCTTTTAATTGTATTTGTTTGATATTACACTGGAACAGGATTTGATTGTTCAGATCATTAAGTTTCTTTGTGGAGGAGCACATTTGGCATGATGGTCTTGAGGTTTTTATTTTGAAAAGTACAACAGTGGAAAAGTGTCAATCACTACTTCCGCTCAACCAGTCATTGTGTGAAACTGATGTTTTGAGACCGTTTGATTCAGGTTGTGTTTATGAATACTTATATTTGTAAGTAACCCTTTTAGTAGGATATGTCTAGAGCTAGTTGTTATTTCGCTTAGATAAAACTGGATTAGGGCTAGCTTGCAGCTAACGTTAGCAGTCTTAATGCAGAAAGCAAAGCATGCAACAAAGATAGCATCATAGCCTAAGTTAACGTTAGCTTTTATAGCATTAACGTTGGCTAATTAGAAGATGCTTTGCGTTTGCAGTCTTATAATTAGTTTATTGACTTTTGCTTTAAGATACACTTTGTTAAAAGGCGAACATTAGGCTTAGAAATAGAGATGTTTCTTTCAGCGAATAACCTTACAAGTAGCAATAACGTAACGTATCTTAGAGACTTTTGTTTAGCTACTTTTTGTCGTGTCGGGACAAATTAAGGCTGTTTGACAGAGTTGTCTGGGTTTTTCGGTGAAGTTACGAGTATGTTCCACGTTTATATTATTACTTTATAGTTTGAAAATTGACAGTAATACTTCCATTTGATCTTTAAATCAGAGTGATTTCAATGAGTTTTTCAGTGTATAGCTTCTTGCTCCACTCTAATACACAGGATCCGCAGGAAGTCAGCTTTCACGTCCTTCCCTCAAATAAATTCACAATTTAGCAGCCATGGATTCACAAGGTAAGAGATGAGTAACCAAACTTATATTATGCGTTATATTACATTGTTAGAGGTACTTGAACGTGCTTAGTGTTGTCTGGCAGTGTTAATTTTATTTTCCTGGTCATCGCCATCATTTTATCTCCACTGTAAAATCATAGTAAATTTGGTTTTTCCATAATTATTTTTAAGAAAGCAGACCTCAGGAATGGCATTTATTGTGCATATCACCTTTCAAGGCTTGGTTTGTAAGAATACACTAGTTTGGTAATAGGGCTGATACTGACTATGTTGATTGTATCATGTATTAGCCAGATGTGACAAATCCATGAACTGCTTCTTTGATAATGTCATTAGAAAATTTTGTGTTTCTGTTTCGGCGTAATTCATTTGGCCATTGGTGGCTGCATGTTATATTACAGAAATGTGATCCTGTTGAGTTTCCTACAGTGTGATACATTTGTGCTGCAGAAGTTCAATTTAGACAGATAGAGAGAACTGGTATCTCTTCACTAGACACAATGTGTGATGACACAGCCACATCTGAATGTCCCCACAGCAACCCCCCAACCAGTCATTTGTGAAATGTGTGGCACCTACTTTGAGACACGACGAGGACTCTCCAGTCACGCCCGTCTCCATCTACGGCAGCTTGGTGTGCCATTGTCAGAAAGCAGCGGAGCTCCTATAGAGCTCCTCTACCAGCTTATCCAGGAGAAAGATGGCTCCCTCCAACATTTCAAAGCAGACTCCTCTGCACCTGGGCCAACTGCTCTCAAAAATACAACCCAGCAGGAGTCCAGTACTCCCTCAGTACCAGAGGACAAGAGTGCCTCCTACAAGGCAGGGGTTGGCATCCTGACAACTCCACAGAAGACTGACCATCAGGGATCTCCAGCTAGATTAAAAGAGTCAGCAGGCACTCTGCTTCCCTCATCTCCTTCTGCTGTTAGGTGCACTGAAGGTGGCAGCTCATCCACCTTAGAACACCAAACCACAACCAAGCCACTGTGGGCACCTCTGGAAACTGATGCCCCCATCACCTTAGGTATGGCTGAATTCTGAATAATTGTCTTAAATAAATGTTAAAAGTAATAAGCTGTATGTTTATGTAATTATATGGCTGTTGAAGTAACATTTCTGTTTTAACACATTTCATCACAATAGTCTTTTGCTGACTTGGTGCTTTTCATTTGCCATTTTACTCATTCTTGCAGCTTCTGACACCAACGATGAGGTCTATGTTTGCCAGCTTTGTGGCTGCTGGTATGAGACACGCAAGGGTTTGTCCAGTCATGCTCGGGCCCATCTGCGCCAGATTGGAATCTCTGAAAGTGAGATTAAGGGCAACCCAGTTGATTTTCTTTATCAGGTTATGGAGGAGGAGGAGGACCACAAGCCCACTGACAGTGAGCAACAAGAGTCGCTCACCTCTAACAGTCCCTCTAGGCCCTCTTCTAAACGCGTCTCTGATTTATCCTCTCCACCTGCATCTCCATCCAACAAACGGCCTAAAACATCAGAGCTGCATACCTGTATTCTGTGCGGGGAGGAGTTTGAGAATCGTAAAGGCCTGGCCAGCCACTGTCGCTCTCATCTACGTCAGATTGGGGTGATTGACCTGCTGGGGAAAAGCTCTGCAGTTGAAACTGTCGAAGAGCTGGTCAGCAGTGGTGTGCTAGAAGCCATGCACCCCCCCAAAACAAACAGCACAGTCAACTCATCTGCAGCACCATCTTTAGCCTCAGCCTCTCCCACAGCCCCACTTCTGTCTCCAGCTCCCAGCCAATCCCAGAGCCCATTTCCCTCCACATCCCTCTCTCCAAGCTCTACAAAGAGTGCTCCCTCTCTTCATACTCCTAGTAACAAGGCCCCAAAGGCTAAAAAAGGCTTTCGGTTAGCAGTGGACCCCCTCCTTAAGAAGCCCAAGTCTGAGCCTATGGAGATGGAGGTGTCTGTCCAACAGAAGGCTTCCAGCACTAACAGCAGCTCTCCCACACCAAAGTCACCCACTGCTGTTGCTACTCCTAAGCGCCTCAGTGCAGGTAAATTAGGCAGCCATACATTCATTGCTAACATCAAGCCTATTCCAACCACTGTTATGGTACCTTTTAATGTTAATAATGCTCCAGTTGAGTTAATTTGTACATTTGTTTAATTTTCAAAGTTTGCATGTATTCTGTCTGTGTCCCCACAGATGTACAGTCCCCACCAACAGTCCTTTGTGATTTCTGTGGCCAGTTGTTTGACACCCGCAAAGCCCTGTCATGCCACGTTCGTGCCCATCTGCGCCAGCTTGGCCTGGCCTGGTCAATCAGAACGTCTCCCATTGATCTCCTCAAAGAAGTCATGATGCATGGTGGACAAATCAGGAAAGAGTCTTTGGCATCGGGCAAAGCGACGTGGACCCCTCAAGGCTCCAGGAGGTCACGGGACAGCCTTCAGTCGGGGGAATCATCTTCCAACAGCTGCACTGCACCTCTTGATTATTCCATGAAAGAGAAATCCCCATCTGGCAAGAGTGGGGCCTCACACACAGGTCAGACATTAACACCACTGCAAAGCGAAAGTCAAGCTGTTTGTGTCAGAATCCACTAAAAGAATGTAGTAATGGATCTGATAAAGGAATAGTCCCTGTTGTTGTATGACAGTGAGACACACTGTTGAGCTCGAGTCAGTCCTACATATATTGTTCTGGTGCCATAAATACTCTGTGTTAGTTCACAGTTGAAAATGGTCACCAGTAGACATGGCCTGATCCAATACAGGATTTCAAAATTCAGGATTTCTTTATTTGTCTCTATGTATATACACACATAAAAAAAGAAGTGGTGTTTCTCCCAGTATGATTAAAAATAATAATAAATAACTAAAATCTATAGCTAAAAATATACATAAAAACATATACATGTATGCACATGTAGCAGAATAGCGGCATGTCCTAGTGTTGGAATGCAGAAGAGCAGTCCAGCACAACAGTCCGTTATTTGTACAGTGCAGTTATACCAATCAACAATTCAGTGATTTGGTTTCAAGTGTCAATGCTGATGCTGGATTTGGAGGAAGTGCAGGTGTGTTGTGGGCAAGTGGGAGGGTGCACAGTCCATTGATGACTCAAAAGAGCTTGTGGGAAAAAGGCTGGATCTGGCACCTATGCTTCTGTACCTCCTACCCAAAGGTAGGAGGGACAACAGACAGAGAGATGGATGCAGAGGATTTCTAATGACCTTGGTAGATCTGCTGATGCAGCACTGATGAAAAATTTCCTTCAAAATGGGAAGAGGGGCACCAGTGATTCTCCTGGCTGTTTTCACTATTTGGTGAAGTTGGTGGCTTTCAGACATCCTGCTATTACCAAACCAGGAACTGATGGTGCCCTTGTAGAAGGTGGTGAGATGTATGCCTTTGTGAGACTGCAGAGTGGGTGGAGTAGCTGTTGAGCATTCTTCACAGTGGCCAAGGTGTTGGTGGTGAAGGCCATTATGTCTGCCAGGTGCACACCCGGGAACTTCACATTGCTGACCTTCTCCACAGCGGCACCGTTGTTGGTCAGTGGCATGTGATAACGATGTCTGCTGTCCTTTTTAAAGTCAATCACCAGCTCATTGGTTTTGCCCACATTTAGAAAGAGGTTATGGGATCTGCACCACTCAGACAATTGCTCCACCTCCCACCTGTAGGCACACTCATCATTGTCTGGAATGAGACCCAGCACCGTTGTATCATTGGCTTAATGATGTCATTGGAGATGAATCTGGCAGTGCAGTAATGAGTAAGCAGCGTAAAGAACAGGGGGCTCAGGACACAGCCTTGGGGTGAGCCTGTTTTCAGTGAGATTGATCTTGATGTATGGCTGCCAATCCTGACTGTCTGTGATACTAAGTATTGGTATGGATGCCAATCTGAGCATAAAGTATTTCTGCATTTAAAAATTCAGATCTGAAGTATGGTCAATGAGGCTGTATGGAACAGATAGGAAAGGGAAGTGGGACACTAAGAAGTTGTGTTTGCTGCGTTGAAATCACTGAAGTAATAGTGGATTACACAGGGATATCAGATGGAAATTTACCACAAATATTCATTTTAATGCAATTATTACATATTGAAATAATTCGCAGAACTCAATGAATTGATAATACATGAGTAATACTTTTCTCCAACTCTCTCATCTTTGTGTCAGACACATCCTGTGAACTTTGTGGGTTTGAATTTGAAAACCGCAAGGCCCTGGCCAGTCACGCACGAGCCCACCTGCGACAGCTGGGACTCATTGAATGGAAGGCAGATGGAGCAAGTTCGCCCATTGAACTCCTCAGTGAATTGATCCGGAAGGATCCAGCCAAAGTGGCAGCGATAACCCAACGCTACCGTGTGGGAGACCTGTACATCAAGAAGGTGGTCTGTGCTGTAGAAAGCGCTTAAAAATCCCCATTTGTATTCAGATACACGCAAATAATGTACTACATACATTTTAATTTGCTGTTCATTTATTTTCTTTCAGTCCCAGAGATCTGCTCTTTCGCCCACTCTGTCCATAGACTCTGACTTTGTGTCTGGCAGCAGCTTGAAGCCTGAACACAAAGTCAGCAAAGTGGACTTGGGTGTCACTGCCACCTCATCCAGACAATCACATGGCCACACACGGGCTGCTGCAGCCCGCAGCGACCTCGGTGTACGTTCCCCAAGGGGTGAGAGATTAAAGAGTCTGGAAGATGGCAGCATTCACATGTACTGTGACTGATAAAAATATTTAGATTGGTGTCTGCACGTTACTGTAATTTCAGGGGTCCACCCACCAAAACGCATGCCTACAGGAGAGGAACATCAGGACTCCCAGCAGCCGTCACACACCGGTAGCATCCCTGCTCTGCTGCCAAAGCCCCCCCTAACACCACTGGTCAAACTGGTGGGCAAAATCTACTCCCTCAAGTGCAGGTCAGTCAATAAAGCACAACATATAAAGAATCACATAGTATTCAGTAAGTAGGAGGGTTTAGAGTAGCAGACTATTATTAAAAAGTAAAATCTAGTAATGCCCTTCATGATGGGCAGAATGTTAAAGCAAGTCAGATGGTGTGTGGCTCACTATTTCACAAACTCAGAGATTGGGAATAGGATCTCAACCACACCAAATATGTCTATATTGTATATATTGACTTTTGAGGACGTGTATATAAAATGATGCATAAGACATTTAGAATGTTTTCATTTAGATGTATTTCATTATATATCTTCGGTGAATAGTTGGAACAAGATACAGACTATGGACAGCACAATAAAATGTTAGTGGTCTGCATACTTTCCGCAGCCACTGTATATGACAAGTCAAGCTAACCAGGTGATTTCAACAACCTTAAGTTTCAGGTAAATTCGAAATAAATGTGTTCTGCGCCAAATTAGAATGATAAAAAAATTGAGGGCGTGTCATGTGAAGCAACTGAAAACTGAAACCTTCATGGTTCTGCTCTGGCATCCAGGGAAGATGCATTCCTGGGACCAAAGCATAGCTAGCTAACCAAAGGCTGTAGTAGGTGTAGTAGAATTTACAATTGAACGGGAGAATCACTGGTGCAGTGCGATCATTTGACCTGCATACAGGAGTATAAATCTGAGTATTTAGGAGCACTGAGATTAGTGACTCAGAAAATATGGTTTTAGTGTTTATAGAATGACTGGCTCTGTGTTTCTGTATGAACGAGGGTGGTGCAGCTGCAGCTCCTCCGCATAGAGCAGACAGCTGTGGTGGAGAGGAGGAGAGTGAAACATTACTCTGGTTTACAACACCTATGTTCATTACTGTACCTGCAATAAAATCTTCGTGAGTAAAAAGCCACTAGAAGTAACTTTAAAACACCTTCTAAATGAGCATAAACTTTCAGAGCAGCGATAATTTCAGCTTTGCCTGCGGGCTGTAATCCACCACTGGTATAGTATGTTAACCACACCCAGCAGTTTAGGTGTGACTGTGGTAATGTGCCCAGTGCAGCAGCTGCATGGTCCGCTGTGTCTCTGTGTGCATGGCCAGTCATCCCTATGGCCGGTTTAGACCTGCTCCACCACGTTTCAGTGTTTGTGTTTGTACCTTTAGCATCATTTAACACTGAGGCACCAGCATCAGTGCCTTTCTAAAAATAACTGTGCCCTGAGATTTTCATCTATGATTTTAATTTTTTTTCATTCTGTCTCACGGCTGCCCCTAAAGCTCAAGGTAAGCATGGAGCCCTGGGTAATGTTATAGTATTAAGGGCAGTGGTTATGCTAAGGATGACCCCAGTACATCATCAAGCCATGCTTTCTACCTCGCCCAAAAAAACCTGAACATAAACATAATGAAAACCAGTTTATTGCCTGACTCCGCAGTGCAGTACTGCATAGTTCACAAGCTTTTCACATTTTCAGCATATATTTTCTAACATGTAATGTGTGTAGAAACAAATGACCGATTTTGCGTTATCCAGGCTTTAAAGCTACTTAAATAGAAACAAGCAAAACACTGCATACTGTGGTGTAAGTTTTGACAAAGAAAAAAAAAAAATCACAATTCCCTGATTGACTTTATCAAGAAATTGTTGTATCTAGTGTACCAGATAACCCATCTGTTTCTGTCCCGTTGTTCAGGTTCTGTGAAGAAGTGTTTCATGGGCCCCTGTCTGTTCAAGAGAAGTGGATCACACATCTGCAGAAACACATCCTGTCACTGGGCTACAAAGGCAAAGCATCTCCTCCTGCCGCACCGGTGACAGCTCCAGCGCTGGTTCATCCAGTAGCTGTCTAGTCCTTGAAATCTGTCTGTAATTCACCGAGCGAGGTCATCATTTTCAAATGTCATGTCAGAGTCAAGAAAAAGTGTCGTATCTAATGCGCTGTTAGAAAAGTGCAAATGAGATGTTTCCTTTTTTGTCCTAGAGAGGGCAAACGTGAGCCATACAAGGAAGCAGCAGAAGGTAATCCACTCAGGTAAAGGCTAGTAGATACAGTTGGTGACAGTACTGAACTCTCAATGCTTCTGAAGAATATGTCAAAGAAGATTCATCCCACATTTTGATCCATAAGTACAGATGTTAGACATGTTTGAATGTGATTCAGTGTTGTTAACAAGTGAGAGAATGATTCTGGCCAAAATGATGACACACACAAGTTGTATGCTGTCGATGGCATATTTGTTGGAAAAAAAAAAAAGTTAAAATGTTGTTGTGTTATTTCCCAAAATCTTGTCCTGTCAGAGCCACATTGTCTTTGCCAATCATGTACTGTTTTTCAGGCCTTTTCACATTCTGTATTGTACACTTGTGTCAATTAAATTCTGTCTTGTATGTAAACATGTTTTTTATTTACATATACCATACAAACTCACTGGACAATGAATCTCTTAGTAATTTATAATGAGTAACAACCTGCATCTCACCAGCAGCCACACGGTGTCCACACCGCTGCCAGTTGGACATGTGTTGGCAGGACTGAGGACCATCCGATATACTGAACACTTTTTCATGTAATGCCTCCGTTCGCTCTAGTGTACATTTTGTATGCTGTCATTTGCACAGTGCTTTCCTTTTTCACAGTTTTTAAATGTAGCTCTCAGTGTAGCTGGCAGAACTTTGGTTTGTCACTCCTGGGTTTTTCTCTTCCCTGCATGTTGAGCACATCTTTGCTGTTTGGAGGTGTGTTTTGTATTTATGTAATTATTTTGGGGCATTTTCTGGCTTTATTAGAGAGTATTGAGGAGTGAGAGAGACGGGGAATGACATGCATCAAAGGCCCCCTGTGAGTGTGAGTGAATATATCATTGTCAGATATACAGCATGTTACATAACTGCCCCTTCACTGCTGGTTTCCTGCCCCTTATTTCATTTTCACTTCTCATCTAAAACTTTGATGCTGTTGTATGTCAGACTCATTAAACATTTGAATCTTAAGACAAGCAGAATGAAATTCCTTGTTCCTTTTGTTTGAGAATATCTGACTTTGGAGCCAAGCATCTCTCAGCTGCCACCCCTTGTCATCAGAGTTCAATAGTGTGGCTCTTGATTTGTTTTCTACAGCCGTAGCCATCAATGTGTTGACAGGAGGAAATTAATATTTCTACACTAAAGGATTCTGCAGTTCATGGACTGTGAATCGTTCACTCAGAGGATGGGGAAAGCTTTATATTTTTAAACTCTGCACCCACCCACGAAGCAAAATCTGCCTCCTGTGTCTGCTCATGTTCTCTCAAAACACGATACTGTTTTTACATGCTCAGAAGCTGGTAATGAAAATTTTTGTATTTCTGCATGTCTCTCGGTGCTACAGAGGGATCAGACCGAAATCTCTCACTGTCTTTATGCATCCGAAGTATAGTGCACGATTGTTGAATGTGCTTTTTTTTATGCAATCATGTAGAAAGCATCTCACAGGAGAGGCTGTGCAGGAGCTGAAAGGACGATTACTGTAATAAGTTGCCGTGCAGCACAACACCATTTCTGTTTCCTGCCCTGTCTCCACCATAGACAGTATATGGTCTTCTCTGTCTCTAAGTCACAGCTCCTGCCAGATATTCCGGTCTCATTAATGGCCCCTGGAGTCTGGTTCTGTGTGATTTACCACCTTCATCTCCACCTACATCCACTGATGAGTAAATCTGATGTCTGCTCCTGTGTTATTGTGCCAGTTTTAGGCCATTTACGGAGTGCGTGAGTGATCCTACCTGACAGGGTCTGACCAGGCTCTTACTCACACTAATCAACACCTGATGGTTCAGACAGACAAAGTGGACTCAAAGTGGGCATTTCAAGGCACTTTATGAAGCCAGAGCCCAAATTAGAAGCACATCTGTCATCCAGGGCCGTGAGAATTTGTAAGATCTGGCCTCATAATTTTAGGTCTCTGACTATGATCATAGATTTTTAAGACTCTTGTGGGTTTAATATGGTTCCACTTTGCACGGAAGCTGGGCAGTCTGCTATACAGTCATCATTCAATTGTAGTCAAGTCGAGTCCTTAGACCTCGGTCTGTAGGCCACTCTTGACAAGACTACCGATATTAACATAGATTAGAAATTATTAGAGCTTAAAGAGTCACCAATAGACTGAATATTTTTTAACATTTTCCCAGTAATGCTTTGCATAAGGTAAATTACAGTAATGGACTATGAACTCCCAAAGTGTTTTAAAGGGCTTTCTATATACGGTAGTTTAATGTTTATTTTTAAACAGTCGGATTTCTTTTAACATTTTTCTATTAAGCAGAAAATTCTGGAGTGACTTTAAAGATTTTTAGTGAATTCTGAAAAGCTGCAACTTTTTTTCTTTTAAATACCAACTTAGGTTTATCAACACAGCAGTCAGTTTGATTTGTCCAACACGGGGGTTGGCAATGACAGAATTACTGTAGAATCGTTGGTGCAGATCTGTTACTGGCCTTTCTTGTGCTTTCCCTGCTATAACAAATCAAAATGGATGAAAAGGGTTTGATCCATCTGGGAAACGAGTGTGATTATGTTTTTTTAAGCTTTAATGGAGAAATTCTTAGGAACCACTTCTCTTTCAACAATTTCCACTTTCTCTTTTTAAGTCTTGCAAATCCCATCTCATTGTTTTCAGCAGCTGTTGTCAGTAATATATCTGTAATGTGACAGTATTAACCATCACAACTTTATACAGTGACATGTCATCCTGGTAGATTTTTAGATTGTAATGAACTTCCCTTACCTCATTATAGCCAGAAAGTCAACTGATACAACCATTAAAAAATAAATGACTACAATAGTGTCATTTTTGGGTTTGTGAGGATCGAGCCAATTATATTATCTTCTAAAAATAACAAATGATTAAAAATAAGCAAAGGTTGACTTAGCACGGTTTATGCATAATCTTGCAAAACATCTTAAACAGTGCAAAGCAAGAGCCCTCAGATTAGCTTGAACAGTAAATTACAGCAGGCATCACCAGTCAAAGATAGAACTTACAGTAAATGGTGTTTAATAATGAAGAAACACACACTGATAAGATTAAATGTTATCTCCTGTTATCCGATCTGCAGGAATTTGATTACTTACAGTATAAATCATAACCATTCATGATTAATGGTCCACCACACCACCATTCAAACGTATAATCCTTCACTCTGACCCAGGGCTGGGTACCGATACTAATAGCGATACCGTGACTTCAATACTGGTTCCTAAACAATACTTTTTTCAATACCAATTATTAATTTTAGTTTTCAATTCCATGACATTTTTATGCACTCAAAGCAGTTCCACAGCATAAAAAGTGAACCTATTTAGCACAACCTTAAGGTCATTTGACATTAACATCAGTAAATGAAAATGTAGAAAAGCATTTTTTGGTACTCAGTGGAACTGAAGTAATTTCATTTGTCATAAAAGTATCAAGGTTTGACACCCTGCACTACTCTGACCACAGTTTGGTGCAGTGTGCTTCAGAATTGACCTACTGGAATGAATGATGGCTGTAGTGTGTTTGTACATGTACCAGATGATTTGTAGTTTTTACACAAACCGATACTGAGAGCAATGTTTGGAAACACTTCTTAAGTACAGGCTTAGAATATATTTCCTCATGATACCCAGTCATTAGGTGTTCCATACAAACAATGCACTAAATCAGTTTTTCTCTCAGCCAGCTTTAGTTTTTCCTTGAAAAGGAGCTAAAGGTAAAACTTTACAACTGATGTTTTGACAGCTGAGAAGGCACAAGGGAGATGATCAAAGGGGAATGAAAGTTTCACTCCTTTCTCGAGTTTGTCTGTGAAAGTACCTTTTTACAGCATATCCACTGTGATTTATAGCATGTTTTCCATGCCTGACACACAATTTGTGGCTTTGCAATCATCCCTCACAGAGGACAGATTCCCCAGGACTGAGCAACCCTGGCAGTGTTTCACTTGTACTATGTTACTGTCTGTCTAGTTTCTAGTTTGTGACTAAAAGCTCTGACACAAAATACTGTTAAAAGAACAGATATACTGTATGCACACATCACTCTATGCAGTTATATCTGTTTATGTGCTTAAATACACTTTTTCTCAGTTGCTTTCGTACATTTCTCGGGTCAGAGTTGAACCTCTCTAAACTACTTGTTCAACTTCCACATCATCCAGTCACTTGTGCACATCATATAAACAGTTTCTCATTGTTTTTAACAAAGTGCAAATTCTTTGGCACATTCGTGCAAATGATTATCCATGCTTGTGGACCATGTTGTCAGTCACAGCCTTACAGTGGCCAAGACTGGTCGAAGGCAGCTGAATGCTGGGAGAACAGTTGTTCTGTCCAGGGGGTGTTTCCTGGTTTACATGTCTAATGTAGTATGTTTTACTTTGCACTGTGCAGTGGTGTAAAACACTTTTTTCTATCTCACTGACAGTGAAAACATGGAGAGTGTAAATGTGAATCTGTCTAATCTTTTTCAGTCTCCCACATACAGTAATGTGAAACTTTGTACTACTGAGATTGATGCATGCCGTACAGAACAAGTGCAGCCTTCTGTATTTTCAGTGTTCAAACCCTGAGCCATGGTTTGAATATGAGAATACGTCCAGAGTACACTGTTATACTGATACATGACTAATCATTCTGACTGCCATGTTCATAAATGGTGACACAGGGACTTGTCATTGTGAGGCACTGACATGTTCACTGACATAAGAATTTACTTTTCAGAGACAAACTAAAGGGCAGCACAGTGCATGGTGGTTCCAGGTTCAGGACCTTTCTGTGCAGAGTTTGCATGTTCTTCTCGTGTTTGCATGGGTTCTTTCCAGGTACTCCCACTTCCTCCCACAGTCCAAAGACATGTGGCTTAGGTTGGTTGGTGACTCTACGTTGCCACTTGGATACACTGTAGTTTTTAGGTAGTTATGATTAGGCTATCAGAGAGGTCAGGTTGCCTGTTCTGCAGTGTGTTGCAGCATTCAGAATCCACAGACACTGGAAACCAAACTCGGAGTCCTTCACAGGGGACCTCGCTGCTGCTGGTGTCATCATGCCAGTATTTCCAGGTTTTCTCAAACTATCTTGCATAACTCCGACGCTGAAGTCCTGAATCATTCAAACTGAATCTAAAACCATTTGCCACAAACAACTAATCATTTTGCAATGGAACAAATGCATTATATACTGCCAAGATGCTTTTTGTAAATCTGGTCCATACTGGTGTATCACAACTCAGCTTTCCCCATGACGGGGGAACAAAACACGACACCAGCTCACCAAGTGACTGAGCAGCACTAGATGTGTGCCAGAAAGGCCACAACTCTATATTTGTGCTGTTCTGCTCTGGACTGAGGGCTTGAGGTAAAGTGGGTGTTTGCAAT